GAGAACAAGCAAAGCGAAACAAAACTCAGGGTGGATCTCAAGATCACCACACATTCTGAGCACAAGCAAGCAGCCACAAGACCAATTCACATGCAGATTTATAACAGAACAAACAGTACAATGACAACAACCTAGCAACGCCGCCCGCTCTGTTGCTACCGCCTGAGCTGCTGCTGCCGCCCCACGCTGCTACCTGAGCTGCTACTGCTGCTGCCGCCCGCGCTGCTACCGCCGCACTGAACTGCTGTCGCCACTCGCGCTGCTGCTGCCGCCCGAGCTGCTGCTGCCGCCCTATGCTGCTGCTGCCACCCAAGCTGCTGCTACCGCCTTACGCTGCTGCTGCCGCCCGAGCTGCTGCTACCACCCTACGCTGTTGCTGCCACCCTACGCTGCTGATGCTATAGCTACTAGTACTGCAACCGCTCCTACGCTACTGCTACTGACTGCCATGGCCCCTACCACTTTCCTACGCCAGCGGCAGCCTCGTCTGCAGGAGCCTCTCTCATCGCAGTAGCTCCGCGAGTGGGCTATCCAGTGGGGTAGTCCTGGTGGAGGAGCTTGGCGTGCTGGTGCTAGAGGTGCTAGTGCTGGCGTTACTCGTCCCCGTCGACAGTAGCAATAGCAGTGGCAGCCTGCAACTCTCTCACCACAAGCTCCGTGAGTGGGCTATCATGTGGGGCAGTCTTGGTGGAGGAGCTTGGCGTGCTGGTGCTGGAGGTGCTGGTACTGGCGTTACTCGTCCCCGTCGACAGCAGTGGCGGCAGCCTGAGACACACTCGCCGTAGCAGGGTACTAGTGCTGGGGGTGTAGAGGCACCTGGTAGTGTAGAGGCTACTAGTCTAGGTGCTTGTGACTCGGCTAGTACAGGTGCAGAGTCTAAGGAGGCCCTGCACATTTTCACCCTGGACTCAGGCGCCTCTCGCTGTTTCTGTCAAACTTATATGCTATAGTCTGTGTAGGCTGTAGTGGGGTGGATAATATGGGGTACAACACTTTTAGGTTTACTACTTGTACCCACCTGCTTCCTAGTCATTTCATTTGCTCGTACTATTCTCACATGGTATAGAGCAGGTTCCCTAGTGGGACCGTTTTCTTTTTCTTTTTAGGGCCCACCACGAATCTTTTTTTTTCTCCAACCTTGCCCAAAGCACGCTCTCGTGCCTGCCTGCCCTGTCGCGCGCCTCGCGCCTGCCTCAACTGCGCCCTTGCGCCTGCCCTGCCATCACGGCCCTGCTGTCGAACACCTGCAGCAGCCGTCGTGGCCCTGCCTGCAGCCGTCGCGGCCCTGCCCTGCCGCTGTCGTGGCCCTGCCCTACAGCCGCCGTTGCGGCCCTGCCTGTCGCCTTCGCGGCCCTGCCCTACCGCCGTCGCGGCCCTTTCCTGCAGCCGCTGTCGCGGCCCTTCCTGCAGCCGCCGTCGCGGCCCTTCCCTGCTGCAGTCGCGGCCCTGCCCTGCAACCGGTGTCGCGGCCCTTCCTGCAGCCGCCGTCGCGGCCCTTCCCTGCGGCAGTCGTGGCCCTGCCCTGTAGCCGCTGTCGCGGCCCTTCCTGCAGCCGCCGTCACGGCCCTCCCCTGCCACCTTTGCGGCCCTGCCCTGACGCCTTTGCGGCCCTGCCTGCAGCAGCCGTCGCGGCCCTGCCTACAACCGCCGTCGCGGCCCTGCCCTACCCGCCCGTCAGGCGCCTGCACTACCCGCGCCTATCCGTAGTAGCTTCACCGTGGCCACCACCTCTTCGCTCATTGACTTCGCCAACACCATCTCCTGCCAGCCTGAGGGGGCTGCTTTGAAGGCCTTCAGTGCCCACTTCGCCTTTTCTCTGCTCCCCAACTCCCTTGCCAGGGCCGCCAACTTCTTGAGGCTGCACGTTCCATCCCACGATTTCTTGACCAGGTCCCCCATGCGTATACCTAGCAGTGCCTTCGTTCCCTGCTGGTTTCCAAAGGGGCTCGCGCCTCTGAAGGGGATGTTCGGATTGAAAGCCAAATGTTCCTACTCCACCTCCCAACGATTTGTCGGGGCACGTGTTCTGCACAACGGCGAGTCCCAAAATTTCCCGACTAACTCCTTCCAACGGGTGCTCCCTTTTTCCCAGTGGTTCAGCAATGATTTGTGGGCGAAGATGGTGTCCAGCCCCAGGGGCATTTTCGCTGCCTTCTTCGACAGCCACTTCTTGACCAAGCTTGGCTTCAGCACCAGTCGGCAGACGTTCCGGATGGCGATGCTGTCGACTCTCTGCTCAGGACAGATTAATCCCAGCCCCCCATCCTTCCGAGGCGTGCAGACCAGCTTATAGTTCCAGAGGATGAAACGCTTTTCCTCTACCGCTTCTCCTTTCGAGACGAAAGTGTGACACAGCTTGTGAATTTTCTTCCAGATGGCCTCCGGTGGTAAGTAGACCTGCGCTTGGAAGAGGAAGATCGGTGTGATGTAGTTGTTAATTATTGTCACTCTCGCTGATGTCGTCAGGTGCTTCATTTCCCATTTCGTTAACTCCCCCTTCGCCCTGTCCAATGCCTTGTTCCAGGATGGGGTCGGGTCTCCATTCGGTGTAATCCATATCCCCAGCAGGCGCTCCTGCTCATCCTTATTCGCCCATTTATATCGCGAGTTGAGCGGCGCCGGCCTCCCTCGATTTCTCCTCGGCGGGAAGATCACCGTTTTCCCTTCGTTCACCTTCAAACCCGACTCTTCTCCGAAATCTGACAACACCTCCGCCGCCGTCTCCAGCTCATCCGCCCCGTGCAGTAAAAGTGAGGTGTCGTCGGCAAAGCCCAGGTACGCAAGCTTACCCACACCTCGCTTTCCGATTCCCAGCCTTTTCCGATTAATCTCTAGACACAACGGCTCGACCGTGCAGAGGAACAGATACGGCGCCAGCAGACAACCTTGGCGCACCCCCTTATCCACTGCAACATTTTCCCCCGCCACCCATTAATGTGCAGGCGCGTCCCTGCCTCTCTGTGCAGCCCCTCCATCCAGGTCAGAAACTCCTCCGGCAAGCCCAGCTTCTATAACGTATTGAAGAGGTAGTCGCGCGAGATTGAGTCAAATGCTTTCTGGAAATCGATCATTAACAGGTACCAGCCCTCTTTTCCGTTAGCTCCTGCTTCTATGGCATCTGCTACCGTTGCCACCGCGTCTGCCAGCTGTCGACCCGGTATAAAGCCGTATTGATCCTCAGAGATGACCTCGTGCAGCACCCTCTTGAGCCTGCTTGCCATCACTTTTGACACGATCTTGTATACTGTGCTTAAAAGTGTTATTGGCCGGTGGTTCCCTAAGTCGCCTTTGTCCCCCTTTTTGTGCAGCTGGATGGTCATCGCTGTTGTGACGTTCTGCGGCAACTCCTCTCCCCTCGTGAATCTCCTTATCAGGTCCATCAGTACTGGTCCCAGCAGGTCCCAGTTGTGGTCGAAAAGCTCCTTGGGCAAGCCATCCGCTCCGAGCGATTTCCCTGGGGCGAGCTCCCTTACCGCCCTCCATACCTCTTCTTCCGTCCAAGGTGCGCTTAGCGACCTCCTGCTCTTCTCCCCCAGCTGCCGCTGCATGGGATGGTCCTCCGTGGCAGGTGCTGCACCTCCTCCGGCACAGATGAAAGCCTCTCGGAAGTGGTCTGTCGCCGCCGAGAGGACCTCCTTTACCCCTAGAAAGGTGGTCCCGTTCCTTGACACCTCTCTGATCGCGGTCTTCGCCTTACGCGTTTTGATTTGTGCTGACAGGGTACCCGACGCCACCTCCCCTTCTAGCTCCGCTTCAATGCCTGCCCACGCCTGCAGCTTCTCCTTATAGCTCTTTTTGTACACCTCCAACAGCTCCTCCTTCCGGAGTAAGATTCTTCCCGTCCTCTGACAGTGCGGGTATCGCGACACCCGAGTTCTGAGTCGCTCTTCCTCCCTGGTGAGATGTAGTTTGGTTGCCTTCTCCCGTTTTCTCTCTTCCCTTGAGTATGCCTTCAATCATGTGATCAGCCTCTCCAGTAGCTTATCGAGTGACGTCCCAGCCGATTCCTCGATGATCCTTCTGATTATTTTTCTAACGCCCTGCTTCTTTGACTTTTCCACCCGCATCCTCCAGATACCCGGTCCGTTCTTGACTGCGTCCGCAGATTCCATCACCACGCCTATCCCGTTCTAGTGATCTGTCATCCCGTTCGTGATTGCCACGTGTTTCGCTTCCACCAGCTTGCACAGCAGCGGTTGTGATATCAGCGCTCTATCTATCCTTGAACTGGATCTTGTTGCTTTTGCAAAAAAGGTGTACTCCCTCTTGCCCGAATTTATGTGCCTGAAAGCGTCCCTCAAGTCCGTGTTCCCCCAGCAGCTTAGAAGCCTCTGGTTCTCCGCTGAAGAGCCAGAGTGAGAAGTGCGGTCCAAGTCCGGATCTTCGACTACGTTGAGGTCTCCCATCACCAGTATGTTCGGAAGCGCCGGCAGGGTCTGCAGGAACGACGTTAGACAGTCTATGTAAAAACTGCTACTGTTGACTGCTTGCGCCGAGATGTATGCTGCCACCAGCAAGAATTCCAGACCTCCCCAGCGAACAACCACCGCCAGGAGTCTACCAGACTCATGTGTGAAGCTGCTTGCAAACACCAGCCCGGGTACGAAGCTCACTATAGCAACTCCCCCCGCCGATTCCCTGGGGTCTGGTCCACACACTGCGACCGCACTCAGATTGCTTTGTGTCCAGAAGTTATGGTCTGCCTGTATTCTGGTGTCCGTGATTATTGCCACATCTGTTTTCTCCCTCATCCATTCAATGCACTTCTATTGTTTCTCCACGCTGCCGAGTCCATTGAACTCGCAGAAAACAACCGTGTGGGCCTTATCCATTAATCAACAACTGAGAAGCCCCCTCGCATCCATGGGCTGTAATGATACAAAAGGCTATCAGACCAGGTGAGCCGCTGATGTCAGCCACCTCTCTTACACTGTTACTGACACCACATCCTGCTGGACCAATCTCTCCCTGCTGTTGTGAGCTGGCGGTGTTGCCATGCGTTACTTCAACGGCTTCACGATGTACTCCTTCTTAAAAGCCAGCAGCTTCTGGGAGAACTTGCTGGCACGGGTTGCTGATCCCTCCTTCCGCATGCCCCCCTTGTGACGAGCTGATGCAATGTGGGCCGATGCCTGCTTGAACCGATTTCCTTGCGCTTTTTCGCACGCTGACTGAACGCAGACCCATTCCTCTCGTGCTCCACCGGTGGAGGTGAGGATAACAGCAGGGTCTCGCATGATACACTTTAGAAGATCTGAAGCTTTCAGGGACGCAGCTACGGGGGAAGAGAAGCAGGTAGCTGTCAGTAAAAGGTAAATAAGGAAGAGCGAGCGGGAAAATGGGTGTCATCAGCAGGTACAATGCTTCACTACTTATACCATTCATCTCGTGAACCTTCTTAACAGTCACGTTCTAGTTGTTGAAATTTTTCTGTCTCGGGGCGACATAGTGATCATGGTAACGTGTCATGTGCTGACCCCCGCAGAAACCGCAGGTCAACGATGGGAAATGAAGCAAGTAACGCTTTCCCGTAGTCGGATCTTCCACAAAGTACCTCCAGCGGTACTCATCATCGGCATGGGGGATGAACAGGCCAGACACCGGGTCCACCGTCCGATGGAAGCCAAAACCGCTGGCAAACGCACTCCTACCACGCTTGACCAGCTTCGACACCACCAACAAGCAACGAAACAGTTCCGCCGTCATCATTCCTGGTACGCCTTTAATCACCACTTCCTTTGTTGTGGGGTTTAGCACACGCTCGCGCAAGAAGCGCGCATCCTCAGGGTGCTGCCAGGTGAGGTCAATGAAATCGCCATTGATGCATTCATGACGAATGATCTGGCTCCAAACGAAGTTTGCATCTCGAACGTGGTTGAATGTAACTTGCAGACGGCCGTAGCGCTCACGGGAGAGGTACATCGGTGTAAGGTCCTGGTAAGTGGTGGTTTGAAGCACGTCCGGCGATAATAATTCTTGCCAATCGTTCAACATCGCAGCAACAGTGATAGCAGCACGCTTAACTTCTACCTTACTGGAAATCGGCACCAACAAGGTTAGTGAAAAGCGTTTCAGAGCAAGAATACTGTAAAGCGAGTCTGGCTCCAGATGCTCATCAGAGTCATCACTCAGGTAACCGTCGTCTTCGTCATCAGGGGTTTCAGCCGGCTGCGCGTTATCATCACCGTCATTCTCAGCGCTTTCAGCATCAATCCCCTCACGAGGTTCTCCCTCAGCAATCTCCTCCCCGTCAGCTTTCTCTTGTCGTGAACCAGCGTCATGCTCACTTGCGATCGGCAGCTCCGGTGGGGCTTCAAAAGGACCAATCACAGACGCAGAAGCGGGAATTAAGAGAGGCTTCCCGCTGTCAGCGGATTCCTTCGCAGGTAAGTCAGGTACGTCCTTATCCAGAGCATTGTCAGTGGTCTTCTTGCCGCTCTTGCCGTTGCGTCCCTTCGCCATAGTGCAATGATGATCCAGGCTTGACGGCTAGGTAATGGCTGGGAAACAAGCTGTTATGAGCACGTTTACGAAATCCCACCAATGTTTATATCTCTTGTGCTTAAAGGCAAAACGCTGCATGTCCAGGCCAGATGATATCGTTGGTGACTCTGAGACAAACTCCTCGCCTTGGTAACTGATGCCTTTGGAGTAACAGGACCCTCGAGATACAGAAGCATTGGTGTTGACGCGAGCTGATGACGAGGCAAGCAGTAGGTTGCGATGGAATCCATGGAGAATTTCACTGAAAATTTCACCTACTGGCAAGTTGAGGAGGCGAAAGGTGACAAAGTGGTGGCGAGACTGTGTACCGTGGAGAACGGCGGATTTTTCGCGCCTTACGCAGGGGATCTCACGATGGAGTTCAGCCTACGAAGCGGGGTGCCGATGTTCACGGAGGGTCGCGTGTTCCTGGGTCCCATGGGGGACATGCGAACGAAGCTACTACTGTCAGAAGCATGCGAAGTAGGAGAACTACTCTCACTGAGGGGAATAAGGAAGGTGATAGCAAGCTCGGCTGGCACGCAGGAAGACCAAAGGAGATGGGAAGGACAGAGGAGAGAAATCGAGTGGGACAAAGTCATTACGCAAAGAGACTCGCTTGCCACGCCATGGCGGGCACGTGAAATCTTTCTAAGGCTCCACTGTAGAAATTTGCAAGCGGGCTTGAGGCTATTTTTCATGGGAGTGGTCTGCCCGCACTGTCGGGAGAGGAAACCCCAGATCACTGCCTTCTCGGATGCCCTGCAGTGCAGACAGTGGCGGGCTTGCTGAGGCGAGTGCTGGCAGCAATGAACCCGGGGTTGGCGAGGCAGGATCTCGAGGATCTGCTTTTCATGCAAAGAAGCACGAAGTCAGGTTTTCCGGAAGGGGCGTGGATTGCAACATTTCTGCACCAAGTGTGGCTGACGAGATGTAACGCGGCGTGGAGGAATGTGACCTTTCAGGCCGGGAGGGTGGCGCGGCAGGCGGTGGTAAACTTTGTCGCACACGCAAGGGTGTACTGCTTGACACGCGAGGTGGCAGTGTGGAGGAAGGGGCAGACGCTGAATGATGACTGGGCACACCTGGCAGCCGATGAGGCAACGATGATGTGGCGTATCTGCAGCAGCGGCACACCGCTGACATGGAAGATCAGCTTCAGCTCAATTTGGGACAACCCTAACATGACACATCAACCACCATAGCTGCCTTAGAGGGGATCTGTGGTACAAGCTATTGTAGCGCTCCCCTCTCTGAAACAGTTACGACTGTCGGTGTCTGTACATTCTTGTAATGTATATGATATAAAAAAAAAAGAACAAAAAAACTACCCGCGCCTGTCGAGCGCCTGCCCTACCCACCACCAGTGGCACCTGCCCTACCCGCCCCTGGTGAGCACCTCCCCTACCCGCGCTGCCCGCGCACCTGCCCGACAAGCACGCAGCCGAGCCGCGCTGCCCAGCCGAGCCGCGCTCTGCCGAGCCGCGCCGCTCTGCCGATACGCGCCGCCCTGTCCTACTGAGCCGCGCTGCTTTTGCTGCTACTGCTTCTGCTCCTGCTTCTACTGCTTCTCTTGCTAATGCCACTGCTGTCGCCATGGCTAGCCCTCATGTTCTTACCTTTGATGCTGAGGGTCGTTCGGTCGATTTTGACGTGTGGGTCGATGATCTGCAGCTCTATCTGCAGTGTGATTCTAGGGACGGAGTCTCACTGTTTGATCACACATCCGGCGTCTCTGTTGCACCTGCTGCCGATGCTGACAGTACAGTTCGTTCGCAGTGGGCTACTCATGACGCTGTTGCCCACCTTGCTGTTCGCAGTCAGCTGCCGTCTGCTGAGCGCGCGCACTTGTTAGAAGGAAATGCTGCCATGAGCAACAAAATGTCTGCGCTGGGATTCGAACTTGTGACCTTCAAATCTGTCCTGAAAGTGTCTCAGGACAGATTCAGGACAGTTTCTGCTAAGTCGCTGGTTATGGTGCACATAAGTTTCGAACTGGAGACCTTTTGATTCAAGTGTCCCGAAAGTGTCTTGTCAGGACAGATTGGGGACAGTTTGGGGACAAATTGGGGACAGTTTGGCGAAATCGATCTCGAGTCGCGATCGGTTTGAAACTCGGCAGCGAAGTGTCGAAGTCAACGGAATTCGTACGGGAGTTACAGTCGGTGGTCGACGGAATTCCTGTCGCGGAAATTCTCGTCTACGGAATTCCAGTCAATGGAATTCGCTCGGCGAAATTCAAGGCCCCAAATTTCGCGTGGACGAAATTCAACGTGCGACCCGGGTTGACACTTTCTTGTGTGCTTTTATTTTGTATTGCGTCCTAGTATAAAACCAGAGAGCACAAACCAGAAATCAACTAAGTCATTATCACTGCTATGTTTGTGCGTATCTCCGGCTATAGTGGACCGTTTCCTGCAATCTTTGGTGCGTTGGAATCGTGCTTTCAAGCTCTATCAAGCTGCTATAGTAGTGGAATTCTACATGGTATCAGAGCTGCGTTTTCTGCGTCGATCCAACTAACGGCTTGATTTTGTCCTCCCATCACTTCGTTCCCACGTTGGTGTGGCTGACGCTCGTTTTGACTGTGCATGGAGTGGTTAACGAGCGCCGAGGGCATGAATGCCCGTCAGAAGCTGGAGGCGTCCATTCGTGAGCACCACCCTAACTTGCGTGATGAGGAGGTCGACCTCATTATGGACGGTCGTCTAATACGCATGGTTCGGGAGCGTGCGGCGGAGCAAGCACCCGCGAGCGGCCAGCAAGGAGGAATCGGTGAAGGAGGAGCTGAGCACAAGGCTCCTGGTGCCGTGGGCATTGATGGAGGAGCCGTTGCACCGACCATTGACACGGGAATGATCGGGGCGAGCTACGGCCAATTCAAGTTTGGAGCACATCTCCGTAACGCCGCTGCTGGAGGGAAGGCACGACCTTACCGCGTGGGTCAGCGCCATCCGACATCAGCTCCAGTGTGCTGATTCGTGGGAGTTTTGCAACGGGACAGCACCAAGCTCGGCCCCAAACAACCCCTTGCAACGAAGGGAGTACGCAAAGGGCCAAATGCTTGCATTCATGGTGATGAACCGATGTGTTTCTCCGCCCATCCGAATGTCCATCTCTGGTTTCTCTCAGCAAGAGAAAGCTGGGCAGCTAGCATGGGCATATATCTTGTCTACTTATAAAGTTCGTGATGCCCTCCACACTTCCCTACTTCAGACCCAGCTAGCCCAACTCAGGAAGGGAGATGATGAGACGGCGGAATCCTACTGCAATAGGGCCCGCACCATCCGAGCGGAGCTGCTGACCATTGGACAGGAGGTCCACATGGCCACGTTTGCCGCTCACGTGCTGAAGGGTCTGCCACCAGAGTACGGGTTCCTTCGCCGCAAGCTAGACATCTCCAGCCCCGACATGACGGTGGAACGTGTGTGCAGCGAGGTGTTGATGGAAGAGCAGACTCTCTCCATCAAACATAGTTACAAGCAGATCACCAGCGATGCATCTGCTTTCTCGGGAGCTGTCAACACGGTCGTGGCTACAATGGGGGTCAACAACGGGAAGGAAGGAAAAGGGGGGAAGGAGCAGACGGACAAGAAGAAGGATGGCAAGCGGGAAAAGAAGCGAGGCTCCTTCAAGGGGCGCTGCTACAACTGCAATGAGGAGGGGCACATGGCTGCCAAGTGCCCCAACAAGAAGGAGACGGGAAGGGCATGGCGCTCACCGTCGCGTGTTCGGCTGCAAAGCTACTGGCCGATGACAAGGACCTGTGGTTCCTTGACTCGGGATGCTCCCAACACATGATCGGCCGCAAGGAGTGGTTCACGGTGATCCGTGACCCATCTGCAACGAAATCAGTCAAAGGGTTTGATGGTTCTATGCAGGAAGTTGCCGGTGTTGGTGAGGTTTTGCTGGAGGACACGAACGGCTTGCGTGTGACCCTACATGATGTCCTCTTTGTGCCAGGAATGAAGGCCAACCTGGTCTCCCCTGGGCAGCTCTTGGACAAGGGAGCAAAGCTGCAAACCGAGGAAGGTGTCACTCGCATCATCGCATCAGGAGGTCAAGTGGCTGCAACGGCACGATACCGCCATCGCCTTCACTGCCTTGACCTGAAACCGGGGCCAGCAAGGAACGGTGCAACGGCTGCAGCGGCATGCAACTGGACGGCGGCTGCAGCGGCATGCACCGATATGGCGGGTGGAGCGGCGAGCAACGGCACAGGGGCTGCAGTGGCATGCAACGGCACGGCGGCTGCAACGGCAAGCAACGGCACGGTGAAGGAGATTGCTGATGTGGCGTCAGGCAAGCCGGAAGCTAATGATGGAGCGGCCAGCCTCAAGACTTACGTGGTGGGCTCCAAGGCAACGCCCAACCTGTGGCACGCTCGCCTTGGACACGTCCACTTTGATGCGGTGAAGCGGACAGCCATGAGCGGTGGCGTGTTCGGTATGGACCTGGAGAAAGGAGGTGAGGATATGCCGAGCACCTCCTGCCATGAAGCCAAACTCACTCGCGAATCATTTCCGCTGCACAACGAGCGAGAGGAGCAAGTTCTTGGGCTGGTCCATACTAACGTGTGCGGTCCATTTCAGACCCCAGCCATGGATGGAAGCATGTACTACATTCATTTTGTCGACCACGCCTCACGTTACACCTGGGGGAAGACGTTGAAGCTGAAGAGCTACGCGCTTGCTCCCTTCAAGGAGTGGCTCCCCGAAGCTGAACACCAGACCGGGATGACGCTGAACGTGCTGCGGTCGGACCGGGGAGGAGAGTTTATGTCGAACGAGTTCCTGCTGCTGCTGAAGCATCAAGGGATCTTGCGTCAACTTTCCTGCCCCTCGACCCCCCAGCAGAACGGTGTGGCTGAACGCCACAACCGTACGGTAACCGAGGGCATGCGTGTGATGTTGGGGCACATGGGGGTGAAAGCACACTGGTGGCACTTCGCTTTCCAGCAGTTCTTGTGGGTGGTAAAC